CATTAACGTCTCTCTAACCTTCTGAGCTAGTTTATAAATATCAGTGAATTTACTTTGGTAGGATATGCTGGATTTATTTAAAGAAATGATTGTTGGCTCCAAACTTTTTTTTCCCTTTTTTAAAATAAGTCTACAAAAGGTTAAAGTTATAGAGTAAATTAATAGTAAGTGACCTCACAGTGTATTATCAATGTATTACTGATTTTGAAATAAAACTTGAGATTAAAACAATTTATCTAATGACATCTACATTTCTGGATGAGTTTTGATTGATTTATTTTTTCCCCATTATGAGTTGTATTTTTTTATTTCTTTGCATGCCTGATTTTTTTTTTTTTAATTGAATGCCAAACACTGTACATTTCACCATGTTGGGTGTTGAGTATTTTTATATTCCTTAAAATATTTTGAACATAGCTTTAGGATTTAGTGAAGTTACTCGGAAATGGGTTAATTCTTTTGGGTCTTGTTTTTAAAATCACTTAAGTGGGGCCAAAGCAGCATTTATTCTAGCTTTAATTTTTCCCCATGTACATGGTTAGGCACGTCTTAGTAATCTAGCTGATGTCCTGTGAATTACAGGCTTTTCTTCCTTGCTGTCATCTCCAGTGTGAGTTGCAGGTACTGGTCTCTCTGACCTTTGTGGGTGACCCTTTACTCGGTCTCACGAAGTGGTCATTACCGAGTTAAATTGTAAGGCTTTTGGCAGGTATCTTCAGTTACTTCTGTGGAGCTCTGTCCTCCCCAGTGCTCTGGTCTGTAACCACGAGTCACCTTCATTTCACCACATCTCAGGCATATCCCAGCTTAGGAAGGTTGCTGGAGTCTGCTTCCATCTCCATGCACAGCCCATCGTTTCGACTCATTTTTTGTGTTTCAGAGAGTAAGAGAACGCTAGCCTGTTACTCCACCATGATTAGAAGTAGGAGCGGCTGAATAGGTCTGTACAGCTTTATGTAACACGAGCAGCATACGTGTCTGAGGGAAGGTTGGCTTAGTCAGTGAGTGATATGACTCTTTGTATATGCCATTCGGGAAATTAGTGTAAGTGCTCCTGTCGTACCATATACTACTGTAAATCCAAGGGATTTCATGTGTATATAAAAAAAGGATTATGGTAAGTACAGTACGAACAGACCCACGCAGGGACACACTCTTCAGTATTCAGTCCCAGAGAGTAAAGTTAAATGGGGAGTCTCACACACCACTGATGGCCATGTATATTGTTCCAGACTTTGTTTTTGTTTTTTTTTAATTGAACAACTCTTTTTATGTTTAATTTAAAAAAATAGAAAATCTAAATTGCAATACTTTAAACCTTGTATGATTTTTACTCTGGGATGCTATTTTATGGAAAATTAGTAAAAGATGTTTATGTTATTCTCTCTATATATTATTTAGCGAAAATTTAGGGATAATTTTTTACTGATAAGGAAATAATGCGTCCACGTATAAGTAGCCATTGAGACAATGTTTATCAAAAGTTTATCCAAAAAGATTTTATATAATACTATAAATTGAATTTAAGTTTATACAGAACTTACATTTCTTAAACTTAACATAAAGTAAGTTGATGACAATGTGTATCTTATTACCTCAGCTTTAAGTGCATTAAAACATGTTATGCATGCGTTAAACCTGTAAACAGTGTATTGAAAGCGGCTTACGTTTGCACGCTGTATTCTGCACACGGGCATAGTGAGCAAAGCCAGTGTCTGCTTAGTTTCTAGTGGGGAATTATGACCTGTTTCTCAAGGAAGAGTAGAGTGTCATTGGATCAAATAAATATGCTAAAAACTAGTGTTTGGAAAGTGAAATTATGGCTTTTGTTTCTATGATAAGAACAGCTTGTCCAGTACCCACTGACATTTATATCTATGTGCTTTATGAGCAGGTAAAAATCCTTTGGGGATTTCAGAGTCATAGAATTGTAGCGTCATTTCATATCCTTTATTTATTTGGCCTCCTGAACTTTATACAGTTATGTTAAGGTTTTTTTTTCTTTCTGTCTTTATGCCCCAAAGAGTTTATATGATATTGTTAATTTTAAAATACACACAATTTCATGAAATTTTTTAAAATTATAGGGTATTAAAATCCATCTTTATATTTCACAATCTACTATTGTTGAAAATGTCTACCTGACACATACTGAATTTGATCTGCTGATTAATAGGCTTCCTGGTAATTTTATTTTTCCAGAGAAATTGGACCTTACATTTTGATAATTATGTTTCTTTTGTGCTAGTTTGTTATCTTCACTTATTCTTTTCAGGATATGATCAATCAATAACCATGTCTGTTAGGTTCTAGATGAAAACTAACTTTTGGGACGAGACAAAATATATTTTGTCTGTATTGTATTCCCTTCATTCCTTACAGAGTGGTTGGCACTGGTGATTAAAAATGATTTCTGAATGAATGAATACATTATTTATAATAAATACAGTAATTTCAATAATTACTTCTATATCTTTTACATTATAGAAAAGAAACCATATTATATCGTTAGTATAAATGACATAATCATTTTGGTGTTTTAATTTTTTAAACATATTCTCTACCTTTCTTGTATTAATGGCATAATCATGAGAAGGTGAATGAAGTGTGAGGTTAATAGAAGAGTGATATTATTGTGTCATTATCTAAGCCTGGTAATAATATTTTATAAATTTTTTATATTTATTTTATTTATTTGAGAGAGAGAGACAGAGAGTCCGAGTTCTAATTCTTTTTTTTTTTTTTTTTTTAAAGATTCCATCTATTTATTTGACAGAGATCACAAGTAGGCAGAGAGGCAGGCAGAGAGGGAGGTGGGCAAGCAGGCTCCTGGCTAAGCAGAGAGCCCGATGTGGGGCTCGATCCCAGGACCCTGAGATCATGACCCGAGCTGAAGGCAGAGGCTTAAGCCACTGAGCCACCCAGGCGCCCCCCGAGTTCTAATTCTTAACTGTTTTAATTCTTCATTGGGAGCAGAAATGCCTGAACAGAAATATCAGTAATTAGACTGTAAAAATGATTTTATTTTTAAGATTAATTTCTCTCCTTGTTTTACTGCTGTGTAGATTTGTAAATACTATGCACTAAATGTTGGTGTACCCCCAAAATTCACATGTTGAAATCCTGAACCCCAGAGTGGTATTTGGAGTTGGGGCCTTTGGAAGGTACTTGGGTTTAGATGAGGTCATTAGGGGACGACCCCGTGATGGGTAGTATCTTTATGAAAAGAGGAAAAGCAAGAGGGTTGTCCCTTTCTGTCATGTGAGGTCACAGCCAGAAGCTGTGTCCCACAAGCCATGAAGAGGGCCCTCACTGGAACCTCACATAGCTGGCACCTGATCTCAAACCTCCAGCCTCCAACACTGCAAGTTAAAAATTTCTGTAGTTTACGTTATGGCAGTCCAAGCTGACTGTGGGGTGCTGCTGTAACAAATACCCAAAAATGTGGAAACAGCTTTGGGACTGGGTGATGGGTAGAAGCTGGAAGAGTGTTGAGGTGTTACTAGAAGAAGGTGATCGCTGTGATACTGCTCCAGGCAGTTCTGGTGAGGGTTCAGAAAGAAAAGAGAAGAGCTAAAAAGCCTCTAATTTCTTAAAGAATGCATAAATAATCATAAGCAGAATGCCGGTAGATGTGTGGATGGGAATCTGATGGATTTCCAGATAGAAACATAGATAAAACATGTTACTGGACACTGGAGGAAAGCTATTTCTTGTTATGAAGTGGGCAAAGAACTTGGCTGAGTTGTGTTTGTGTTCTAGTATTTTTATGGAGGGTAGAACTTGCAATTAATGAAATTGGTATTTAGCTGAGAACATTTTTTTTTTTAAGATTTTATTTATTTATTTGTCCAAGAGAGAGCCTGCGTGAACGAGCGCACAAGCAGGGAGAGGGCAGGCAGAGAGAGAAGCAGGCTCCCCGCTGAGCAAGGAGCCCAAGGTGGGGCTCTATCCCAGGACCCCGAGATGAAGGCGGAAGCTTCACCAACTGAGCCACCCAGGCATCCTAGCTGAGAGAATTTCTAAGCAAGGTGTTCAAAGAGTGGCTTGGTGCCTTCTGATTATACTAAAATGTGGAAGAAGAACAACTGAAAAAGGAATTATTTAAAAAAGAGAGAGAGAGATACAGGCACCTGGGTCTGCTTCTCTGCCCCTCCCCCTTGCTTGTGCTTTCCCACCTTCCCAAAAATAAATAAATAAAATCTTAAAAAGATAAAAAAGAGACAGTACTTGAAGATTTGGAAAATTCTCAGCCCGTTCATGTAGCAGAGAATACTAAGGTTGTGGCCAAACAACCCTTGGCCAGTTTCAGCTGAAGGGAATGGAGATGGCATGAAATGAAGGAAGGCTTTTGGGCTTCGTAGATCCTATAGGACTGGAACATAGTTATTTTGCTGTGAGCGTGCATTATTCTTCAAGATTAGGGATGAATGATCATCAGGAAGAGATCATCAGGGCTGCCTCCTTGGTTTCAGACTGGGGTAGGACGCCGCCATCTCGGTTTGAACAGTTCGGGCAGCAGCTGCCCAGGGCATTATGGGGCACAGGGCTGCCTGGCAGAGCCTGGCTGGAGAGGGGCATGACTGCCACTTCATAATCAAAACTTCTGTTTATTTACTGCTGTTAATCATTGCTCAGAACTGTGCCACATCTCTTAACTATTGGCTGAAAGTATTAGTCTTCTTTCTCCTAAAATTTATAGATAAATGTAATTAATGATAGATGTACAACAAGAAAAAGACAAGAAGATTAATGAACTTCGGAGGAAATTTATTTGAGATACTGTTCTTATCTGTTCGGCCATTTGTAATACTGAGTACTCTAGTTTATTCTTACCCCGTGTCTTTTGGGGCATTTCACAATATTCTTTATAAATATTTAAGACACATTTTAAAAGGCTTTGTGATGAAAAATGTATTTGCATTTTATGCAATGCAATGTGCAAAAGAGGTTGGTCAACATATCTTTATTTAGGCTTCAATATTTTGTCATTTTTGTAGGCTATAAAGTGTGATTGAACTGAACATCTGTTTGCTGGTCATCATGAACCGTGCTTTTAGCAGGAAGAAAGGTAAGTGAGCCCGTTTAAAGGGCCTGGGGGTCAATTCAATATCACTGTGAAAATCGGGCAGAGATGCTAAGGACTCAGTTTTTCCTATTATCAAACCACATGGTTCAGGAATGACGTTAGACCAGAGCAACACGAATGTGCACCCATTGCTAATTAACCTTTGGTTATCACCCTAATGAGAGTGGAGTTGTTTAGTACATTTAATTCAGCATACGTTTATGACAGTGTGCTTCCTGGCAATTTCATTCTGTGGCGCGAAACTGCAAAAAATAAAGTGATCTGAAACTAGTCCTACTGGATTGTGTAGTCATATAATACTCAACTCATGGGCATGTATGAGGGTCCCATGATTTAAAATCACATTTGTATGTGTGCATATGCTTCCCTGTTTACTGCGTAATATGTGAGGGTCGATGATAAGTAAGCTGATAGCAACGAGGCCAAAATAACTTTAGGATTTTGACATAAAATAAATATAAATGTAATATATCATAATTATCAGCATAGGAATGAAAGAAACAGCTAGTTAAATGTTATTTTTTTAAGGGGCAGTAAAACATGGCATTTGACAAATATTTCATGATATACTCATAGGAAAGATTGAAATGTTTCATAGTTTTATGTAGTTAAGTGAAGTTAAAATAATGTGTCCTTGTCTTTTTTTTGCTTTTTTTTTTTTTTGGAAATATTTTATTTATTTGAGAGAGAGTGAGCTGGGGGAGGTGTAGAGGCAGAGGAAAGAGCAGGCTCCCCGATGAGCAGGGATCTGGATGTGGGACTCGATCCCAGGACCCCTGGATCATGACCAGAACTGAAGGCAGATGCTTAACTGCCTGAGCCACCCAGGTGCCCTGTCCTTATCTTTCTGTAAGAAGTTGTTTAGTGACGGACACAGGGCTCTGTCCTATTTAATACACTGTCAGTGAAGTGGGAGAGGATAATTAAACAATGCCACTCAATTTTATAAGTGATCGTAAACAAGAAGAGATAAACTGATATGGTGGAATTAACAGATACATGGGGGAGAAATGACCAGTTAGCTTATATTCTGCACCATAAACTTAATAAGATACTGTAAATTGATGAACGTGGATCCAGAAAATCTAACACTTTCATTCTTATTTATAAACTGTCATTATTTGGAAGGCGTACCTTAAGTGCCATGTGGGTAAAAAAATGGCCGAAGAATTAAGTCTGAACTGTGTGGTTATCAAAGGTTCTAGTTAATTTTCTACTGTATGAAATGAATAGTCCAGAACCACAAACTAGATTGTTCTGTTCTAGTCCATGGACTTCAGCAGGGTGTGTTCTCACTTTAAAGGATTGATCGACACATTGTAACACACCGATGAGCGAGGCGGCCGGGGTTGTGGGGGGGTGGCTTTCAACCTGGGGCAGGAACCTGGTTGAGAACCTGAGAACCTTGGTGTGGTCTCTCAGTGTTTGGAGGACTGTCATGTGGTCATGGGACTAAGTTTAATAAAGGTCAAATAGGTGTAAATTACAAGGTTGTTGATTTAATGCAGGAAAAAATTCCAACAAAGTTGTGCAAACATAATGGAATGACTTGAAGCACAAACTTTTTTTGTTATGGAAGTGAGAAGTCCTCAGCGTTTGGCTGTGGTCCAGAGGAGTGATGTATTCAGTAGGGATTTAGGTAATGTGAGCTTTCTGGCACTTTTCCACCCTGGGAAACTAGGAATTTATTATTTTACTTATTTTTCTGAATAAGGGGAGGGCAAAAATAACATTTGTTGTCATTTGTAGTTTGATTCCGATTTAAAACACATTCTGAAAGTAATATAATGTTCTTTTTAAATTTCTTCTACTGGTAGAAAAAGAATCTAGAAATAATCCTATGAGACATAGTATTTTTAATGAAGTAATAAAAATCTTACATCACAACTCACTTTAATCATATATTTTATTTTTTTTAAGATAGTACTTATTTATTTATTTGAGAGAGAGAGAGCGGAGGAGCAGAGGGAGAGGGACAAGCAGACTCCACGCTAAACACAGAGCCCAACACGGGGCTCAGTCTGGTGACCTTGAGATCATGACCTGAGCCGAAATCAAGAGCCAGTTGCATAACTGACTGAACCACCCAGGTGCCCCATTATCTTATTTTTAAAAAACACTTCTAGACTCTTTTTTTATTTGCTTACAGTTCCTTTTTCCGAAGGTTTTAAAGTTGAAACTCCCATTTTCTAATTTCTCTTTAGCTAAAGACGATGTTGGAGTTTTTCATTGAGAAATCCCAAGTAACCAGCAACTGTGTATCTGTGTGACTTGGTGGCAGTGGGAGGACAGCTGCGGGGAAGATCGGAGTGATTTACAGAGGCAGGACATGGAAGCACTTGTTCTTTTCCTGCTTTGCCCCACTGTCTTTAAAAATTTCTTGTGATTTTTCTCCCCAAGTCTAATGATTAAATATCCTTATGAAGAATAGAGTATTAGAGGATTGATCAATATTTTACTCTGATTTCACGTTAGAACTTGATACTGGAAGTTCTACCCACCAGTCAGTTATGGCTCTCGTTTAGTGAGGTCGTGAAAGGTAGAACTCTCAGAGCCCTGCTGCCAGCTTCAACCAGTACCACTATTCGGTTGAATTTTAATTTGAAATAGAAAAGTGAAATTTTATGAGACGCGTCCATATATTTTGACAATTGGGAGCTGTAATTGTACCCCTAGAGAATATACAATTCAGTCATGTTTCCCGTAGCTGGTATCAGCATGTGTTGTATATTCTACTCTAAACAGAGAAGACGGTCTTCAGTCAGTAGAAGCTTATCTTTTCTTTCAAAAGTGTCCAGTTTACGTGGTCATCACGTGCACTCTTACTAAACCACCCTGGACCTCAGAAGCTGAAGGCAAAGACACTGTTCTCTTAAACTCAAACATATCTATATATTTTTCTTTTTAGCAACCCTTCCATTCGTATTTGGTCTGGTATTCCTTGATTGAATTAGCTAGTGACTTCACTGATCTTCTTTGCAAATGCTCTAATGCTGTACAGAGTCTGAAAAAGACTGAGTGTATTAGAATTGCATTATTTGGACTATTTTGAAGAGATCTGTAAAAATGAGTCTAATTTCATAGTCATCAAGTAAATTTTAATGAATGTGCTTATTCTCTAGCTCCTTTTCTTTTTTTGGATTACTCTTTAATTTTTTAATATAAATTCAATTAATTAACATATAGCCTATTATCAGTTTCAGAGGGAGAGTTCAGTGTTCGTCAGTCTTATGAAATACCCAGTGTATGGCTCCTTTTCTCATGATAGCTTTCTCTTTGAATTTTTAAAATCCTATATTCTATTCATTACATCAAAACTGAATAATTTAGTAAAAAAGCATAAAATTTTGAACATGAGTAAATGTGATTAAATAATTCAACTAATTACACTTTAACTTACCAGTTGACCTACTGATGAGTAGATACAATCACAGTGCATAGTGCTTAAGATTCAATATTTAAATACTATTTTTCTTTTTATAACCCATTCATTATGCATCTATTCACCCAACATTTAGGTTTAAATTTGATATATTCAGAGAAGGTACTTCCTGTATGCTAAGCTCTGGTGATACAATAATAATGAAATTTCTGCATTCTTCTTTTTTTTTTTTTTAAGATTTTATTTATTTATTTGACAGACAGAGGTCACAAGCAGGCAGAGAGGCAGGCAGAGAGAGAGGAGGAAGCAGGCTCCCTGCTGAGCAGGGAGCCCGATGCGCGGCTCGATCCCAGGACCCTGAGATCATGACCTGAGCCGAAGGCAGAGGCTTAACCCACTGAGCCCCTCAGCACCCAGTCTGCATCATTCTTGATGAGCTCTTAATCTAAATGCATTTGAACACTTGGATTTGTTACAGTCAGGGTGGTTTGACACTTGCCAAATATTTTGACATGTTGGCATTTCCCTTTACATGGCTGTTTACTCTTGAGTTAGTGATTACAGTTCAATTTCAAGGAAGGGGACACGTTCCAGATGTCTGTGTTCCTGTGTCTGTACCATGTCCGTGTATCTGATGGCTTTTGTGGGCATAGGTTGTGACCGGAGACCATCGTCTATACTCGCTCTTCAAGGCCAGGCACATCTATGGGAGTTAATATAAAGAGTTTTATTCTGTCAGTTTTTTCTTTTGCCAGAGTATACATCAGGAGGACAGTAAGGATGTGTTTTAGAGATCTTTCGGGTTTTATAAGTGTACGGCCTGTGCTGGAGGTATGTCCACCAGACCGTCAGTGCGCGATCATGTGGACACCGAGTTCTTGTCATTGTAGCGATTACAGCTTACCCACTGGTCATTTCATACTGGGATTAATCTGTCATCAGTACCAGCTGGATAGAACTGCCCACTTTCTAGGTCACCTTAATGCAAGACTGTAACTGGTCGCGTCATCAACTTTCCAGTGTAGTGGCCGCAGGAGAACGCAGTCATCCCTCTTCCTCAGGGTTGGAGTGAACCGTCGTACTCAGACTTAAACTTTATGTCCTTCTGAACAGTGCTGTGTATCTTGGAAAAGGAGACATGAGAAGAATTGAGTTAAGGGGCTGAAAACAGAAATTGGATTTTTTTTTCTTTTTTAGGTTTCCTAAAGGTAGGTCTTTGTTCTTATTGTTTTGATATTTTTATTGTTCTGGTGGATAGCATTGTGATTTATTTCTTTTAATATACAAGGGCAAGACTGTATCTTAAATCTAAGTACAAATTTTTCTGAATTAATCATATCACTATTCAGGAGCAGTCATAAAGAAAAAAGTAATTAAATTTAAAATCCTTACAGGAAGTAAAAAATTCACACATTAATGGCGATGGCAATACGTCAATATTGCTTTTTGAAGCTCAGAATGTGTCACCTCTCAGAGTACAGCACCGAACTACAATCATCACATATTCACTCGAGTAGTCAGAAAGAGCCCTAAAATTCACCATAAGCTTGGGATGTTTATCATTTCCTCATGTTCTGTTTTAGAAATTCATATGAATATTGGATTGTACCCCGTAAATGTGTTTAAAATAAATATACTGTGTTATTTTCAAGTGGTATAAAATAATTGACCTTCCAGACATGGGCCTTTTTCTTTTTGTCTTCCTATTCCCCCAGTCTGAGAACATATTAATGATATCAAACTGGTTTCTGTTAACATTTTCAAATGTTCTGAATTGAATGTTGAAAATACTTTGTTCGTAATCCATTTCTGTTCAGTACTTACTAACTACTTTTCATGGTAAAATATGTCTTTGATTGTATTCTGTTCATAGTATTGATTCTAAATTTTTAAATTCCAAGAGGAATAAAATATACACAAAACTCTGCTAAAGGAGACAGTAGATTTTGAAGATTTCAAAAGTTTACTACAGACAAATGCAATTTCCAAAAAATGGTCTAATTTTATTTGTTTAATGTTTTTTGTTTTTTCCCCACTTACTCAGTCCACAAAATGTTTTGGAAGATGTGTAGACTATATAAATAAAATTCAAAGTTGAATGAAAAATATTTTTTTCTATTTCTACCAATAATATACAGTTCAAATTATTTTCATTATCTTCTATCCTTTTAGTCACATTTATTTTTAATATTCTCTTACATTAATCTAAGAAAATTATAAAGATTTAAGATTTATTGATTAGAGAATTTAAAAAACCCTATAAACCATGAGAGTATAAGCGGAAAGAAGACGTCACGTAATCATGTAATGGGTACAGTTGTCTTCCACTGAGTTGTTATTTTTTAATATTCTTTAGAAACTTAGTATCACTTCATTATTTGAATACTTTTTAAAGGAAAAGCTAGGGACTTTTATATCAAGGAAAGAATCTTCTAAGCACTTTACAGCTACACTGTTCTCCTATCTGACTAGTTAGTCTTTCTCAGTTTAGTATGAGAATCACGACTTAGAAATGCTCCCACCACTGTCAGACTCCTTATGCTAATGAATGAATATTACCCCCTCGGAACATGTAATTTAATTTAACCTTGTGTATTCTTCATTGCAGACAAAACATGGATGCATACTCCCGAAGCTTTATCAAAACATTACATTCCCTATAATGCAAAGGTAAAATGGCTTATATGATATTTATTTAATTTCTTTTGTTATGTTATTATTATTAAATTCATGATTGATCTAAGAAAGATTGTTTATGCATTGGCGTTTCCCAATAGATGGTTCCTAAAAAAAGTTTGCATAAGAAATTTTATAATATATAGTATGGGGAGTGATTTTTTTCCACCAAATAAGTAATTCTTTTTTTTTTTCCCTGTCACTCCAAATAAGCAATTATTTTATTTAATTATAAAGAGTATTCTTTATAAGTTCGGTCTGCCATGCATGTATTCTCTTTAAATAATTTAGCTATCTTTAAAATTATTTGCAATATCATGGCCTGTAGGAAATAAAACCACCAACAAATTAGCTTCCTTTGAAAGCATTTTAATGTTGCATTGCATAGACGAATGTAAAAACTAACCTGATCAGGAGAGAAATGAGCTACAATTTTGATGAATGCAATTTTCATTCAAAAAAAGAGACAAAACTTAAACTATTAGGAAAACAGAAAAAAGCACATTTTTGACTCTTGTGTTTAGTTTTCTTCATTTTAGTAAATAGAAGCAAGCAATCCATGCTCCATATCTTCAAAGAAAAGGTCTTTAAAGAAAGGTGTTACTGTGTAATTAGGGAGCACGAAATCTGAAATAGATTGGAATACACTTGGAAGACACAGGAGAGAAAGTTGTGTTGGGGAGCGTGCAGGTGGGCCAGACTTAAGTAACTAACCTTTAGACACAGCATGGGAAAAAGAGAAAATGATAAAAATTATTTTTATAAAGAAAACTTAAGGGTTTATGAATTAGCAAACTCTGTACTGGGTATACTGGATATAATGAGATGAGGTATGAGGAATGATTTGAGAAAAAACTTAAAAAACCATATATTGAACAGAAAGTCAATGCGTTTAATAGAGAACCTCTTTCAGTGCTGGTCTGAGTCTGAATCAGTAGGAATAAGCGTTTATAAGATCATCTGGAGATTCGTCCAGACCTGTTGCTCAGCAGTGCGATTTGTAGCGTATGGCACCTCCATTTTTTCTTGCTTTGTAGCAAAGAAATACTCTAAAATATTTTTGGTGTAAAGCTAACGTGCTTGACGAAATAAGTCAATCGGAGAAAGACAACTACCATATGATCTCCCTGATATGAGGAAGTTGAGAGGCAACGTGGGGCATTTGAGGGGGTAGGAAAAAGAATTAATAAAACAAGATGGGATTGGGAGGGAGACAAACCATCAGAGACTCTTAATCTCACAAAACAAACTGAGGGTTGCGGCGGGGAGGGTGGGTGGTGGGGGTGGTGGGGGTGGGGTTATGGACATTGGGGAGGGTACGTGCTGTGGTGAGTGCTGTGAAGTGTGTAAACCTGGCGATTCACAGACCTGTACCCCTGGGGATAATAATACATTATATGTTAATAAAAAAATAAAACATTTTTTTAAAAAAGCTAATGTGCTTGAAATCACTGCAGTGCTTAGGGCTTTCCCTCTAATGTGACATGAGGTTTGATTGCCATGACTTAGCGTGAATAGTTTAGTCAGCTGCGTGAGAAAAATTGAGTTACTATTATCTCTCTCTTCCGCAGATACTCTCCATGTTAGCTGTTGAGAAATTGTATGAAAACTTTTTAGAAAAAAATTAATTTTGAAAACCACTATTATTTTAAAGTGCATGCTGAGTTTTTGATATTATCTATGATACCAGAATCGTGTCTTTTAACTTGAAACCACCACATATTACTTATTTTTAGATATGACTGAAATGTCTCATTTTGAAAAACTGGATTGAAAGATTCTGATTGAATCCTTCTGATGTAAAGGATTGAAAGATTCTGATGAGAACTGTCCCTGACTTTTGGGTTAGGGTGAACAGTAGAGATCGTTGTCTGTGTTACTCACAGCTGCAGAGCTGCTCTAAGGTATTCTGCACAAAGTAGAGGGTACGCAAACACCTTCGCAGACTGGGGTCGGTAAATTACGGAGGAGCAAGTTGATTTTGTCCGTTCTGATATGGCCTCCTGAGCGATAAATATGTCAGGTACATCAAGTAGTGTTGCAACTGTTTGAAGAACTTTTTTTTTTTTTCTGAATTCTTTTTTTTGCAGAACATTTTGAACTCATTATTAGTAGTTATTTTTGAAAATTTTCTACATCTCTTTAGAGTACATGCTGCTTGGAAACCAAACCAGTGTCCACAGGATGTACCTTAGCACAACAACAGCAACATAGAATAAAGACTCTTGGGGTGCCTGACTGGCTCAGCCTGTACCTTAGGTGACTCTTGATCCTCAGGGTCATGAGTTCAAGCCCCATGTTGGATGTAAAATCTACCTAAAAAATCCACAAGAAAAAATAGTAATAAAAAAAAGATAAAAAAAAACAAAGAAAGATAAAGACAAGAGGTTAATAAATATATGAAAAAGAATCTCCACTTATAATCAAATAAATACTTAAAAATGGACTCTGTATATTTGATGAATTAATGCATAATAACATTTCCAAAGTAATTACAAAGTAGTTACATTTCAGTGGGCTCTAATATATACCAGGTACATGATCTCACTTATTACTTGCCGTGACTCAATATGGTGATTATTGATCTTTACATAAGAGAAAACTTTGTTTTACGTAGGAGAAATTAAGGCTGAAAGGTTAAGTAACCTGCCTGTGTCTTACATGCTCATGGACCTTCCATCCTAAGGAAATACCACATAGACATGAGCAGCGTAGAAGTCAGATCATGTTCTGTGTCATTCTGATGTCGTTGAACAAAACGCTAAGGAGATTCGGAGAATGGTGAGATTCTCGTTTCATGAAAGGGGGAGTGAGCTCGAATTTCCCAGGTCGAAACAAGGGAGAAGTGACCATTTCATGCAGAGATATCTGAAGGACGATGAGTAGAGTCCACAAGGTCTGAGTCACAAACAGTATGGTGAGAGTTGGGCTGGGGCATCGAGTGCTGACGATGGTGAAGTGTTTAATCAGTCAACGTTGCGTCTGAGAAACAGGTGTGAGGATGTGTACACACACACACACATTTATCTCAAGGAATGGGTTACACAATTTTGGCACTGGCTAGGCAGGTCTGAAAAGCATATGGCAGGCCATCCGGAAGGGCAGGTTGGATGTTCTTGGGCAGGAGCTGACAATAGGTAAAACTTCTTCTTTAGGGACAAAGCACTTCCATTCTCAAGGCCTTGAAATTGATATCAAATCCTCCCGTACTATTTTTTACATAATGCCAACTGATTATAGATGTTAATCATATCTATAAAGTAACTTTGTGGCAACACTTGGGTTAGAATTTGACTGAATAGCTGCAGAGTATAAGCTGTCCACGGTGCCACGTAGCACTGACCATCGCAGGTACTAATGATGGGCAGAGCTAAAGAGACAAGCTGGGAAGGCTTTGCATGGCCATGGAAGCCGTTTGAGTAGGGAACTAATTAAGGATTTTAGGAAGATAAATCTTTAGTGATCTGAAAGTTGATTTGGGTCAGGAGAGAAGGATGACAATCAGCTTCTTAGGGAGTTAACTTAGGTCCAAGTGTGTGGTCCTGTGTTTCTAGAGGGTGACAGGTAAACACGCAGTGGAAAATAAAGATGTGCTAAATACTGCAAGGGAAGAATTGCTGCAATAGAGGAATAGTTTATATGCAGAAGAAAAATGGCTATTTTCATCCTGGCTAAAAGAGGGAAAGATCATACTATTATCAAGATTTCCATCACTTCATTCACTTTTGGGATCCACTGGTTACAAATTAACCTGATAAATTTACCAGAAATGTTCAAGAACTATAATTCTCCCCGGGGAAGCATGTAATAATGTGTACATTTAGGTGTTTTCACTTTTAAAATAATAGTTGTCTGCTCATGTTATTTCTTTAAGAACATACTTTAGTTCCACATTCTTTCATTTTCTGTAAAATTCAATTTCAGAAATTCACATTTAATATTCAGAGTATGCTCATTTCAGATCTTATATGGATATAAAATAATGGTTTCTTTCAAAAGCATTTTTTTTTGTACAGGGTTCATTCCTTTTTTTTTTTTTTTTTTTTTTTTTAATGAGCAGTGACAGCTTTAATACTAGTTCATTGGAAAATCTGCATGTTTTCCTGTACTCTCTAGTGATGTTTTCAAACTGCAGGTTATGCTTCATGAGAAAAATTGGGTCACGGGAGGCATGTATTTAAAGATGAAATGGAATAGAAGAGAAAAAGAAAAGACGTTTATAGAATGCATATGGTAAACATCAAATTGTTCATAAAATTGTGGTTCATAGTCATTGAATATGAAAGCCACCACGTTTAAACAAAGACTTCACCAGATTTAACCAATTTAAGTCATGAAATAATAGTAGGGGAGCTGCTTAAAAGAGCCATTAAATTCTTAGTAGAAGAGATGATCCGCATGGATGTTCAGCCACACGTCATTGAATCTAGCGTCTTAAAGTCGTTTCTGGAATGTGCACGTGAGCGCGGTAGGAACGACAGAGAAACAAAGTGAAGTGTAGGTTCACTCGTGCTCTTGTTCATTCACACATGTGCTACCCATCAGAATGCAGCCCTAACATATGCAAGGTCCTGATCTAGAAACACGGGAATTGATCAGTAAACCAAATAGATAAAATCCTGCCTTCCTGGGCTTTACATATAATAAACAAAATAATACTACTTTTCCAGAAATACCTGATAAGAAAACTGGTTTTATTTGTTAATACATGGATTATTATATTGATTTGTATTATTTGTTACTGATATATAGCATTAATATTTATATATTATATGGTAAATATGCATGTTAGTATATATAATATTGACACAATATCTATTAATACAGTATTCCAGGCTGCACTAATTTGCAGTGCAGAGAAAGCAGGATATTGGGAATCGGGAGAAGTGGGAAGGAGGGTGCCAACCTATTACACACGGTGGTCGGGGAAGATCTCTGAGGAGGGCAGAAGCCTGAAGAAAATGCGGGAGTGAGCATGTGACTGCCGGAGGGGA